TATAGCTTGGTTTTTAAAAAACTAATTTTATACACTTATATGTGTGTGTGTGTGTGTGTGTGTGTGTGTGTGTTTGATTATTAAATACATTATGTGTGTAGCCATGTACATGTACATGCATTTGTTCAAATTAAATCTTACCACTCATGTTGACACACCTTGGCTCTCAGCAGTACGGTTTCTTTAATTCTTTTCACAATTTTTGACAAACCATAACTAACCATAGTCATTTTTTATTCACATTTTATATCATTCATATTTTACTATATATAAACATAGAGACGAAAGCTTAAAGTATCAACATTTTAAGGCTCATATAATATGTATTAGGTCTCTTGTATTTCTCAATCTCCAAGATGTAAGATCGATTGGATTAAATGATACCTCACGGTGTACCCATATATAAAAAAGGTCATAAAATTGTCGGCACTGTTGTAAAACTATAAAAAGAAAGCAATGCTGGCTTTTTTGGATTATTATCAGACTCAAATGTTCCAATAACAAATGTGAAAGTTTTCAAATCCATTAATAGAAATACGTACTGCCTCCAACGCGTTTTTCTCATTTACAACAGCATACTATAATAGCATACATAGCATACTATAATAATATTTTGATTCGGAATATATTTACGATTTTATTGCTATATATCCAAGGCAACAGCAAAGTTAACGTATTTTAACGTTCTTATTTCTAAATCAAAATGGAATAATGTAGCTTATGAATTTCTCCGTCACTGAAATGCTCCTTTTCTGTTTATTTATGTCATCATTCCATTATGACTGCAGCTGAGAACTCCTCATTTGCCCAATTATACCATCCACGTATTGTTGGCCAGTGGCGCAACGGAGCGTTACTCGGGCGTAGTTACGACGATCAGTTTTTGTCTTGGTGCAACGGGCGTAAGCAGGGAGAGTAAACCTGGCGCACGGACGCCAGGCGTTGCGGTTTACGACAGTCGTAGCCGAGTAAATTTACGCCCTGTTGGTGCAACCGGACCCTGGGGTTGTAGGTGAACGCGAGAGACATGCACACGTACTAATTGTTCTGTGGGGGGCGCAATGGTGACAGTGGATGTATTGCGTGCGAGGCCCAATTGGTCAGAGACGGTAAAGGGGACTGTAATGTCGGGGTTACGCAAGATCAATTCCTGGGTGGACAAATTGAGAGTGGCTCCATGATTATGGAGGAAATCAAGGCCCAAAATAGCAGGACGAGTGAGTTTTGGTATAACTTGAAAATTGTGAGTAAATTTTGCTTTGCCAATGTAAAATTGGAGACGTAACACACCTAAAATGTTTTGGGATACACCACCTACGCCAATAATCGTTTTCAAATGAGAAGGCGGAGCTAACTGAGATAGTGAGATACCCATTTTATGCAAAACGTCTTTTGATATACATGAAACAGAAGCACCCGTATCAACCAATGTATCTATTGTACAGTTTCGTGCCGAAATAAAAATAGAATTTTGCTTAACAGAATTTGACAGTGTACTGACAGCCTTTTCGTTTTTTCGTGCTTTTAACCGTCATTGGTGCCTACCAGAACGGCAGACCCTAGCTAAATGACCAATTCTACCGCAATTTCTACACGTTAATTGAGAAGCGGGGCAAAATTTACGTAAATGCGACATACCACAGCCGTTGCATCTAGGTTTCTCTTGAACCATGGCAAATTGTCTGTTTCCTCTGCGACCCAGCTGTCTAGCTCCAGATCGTCCCTGGAATCGTGTTTTGGGTGGAAGATATCAAAGAAGCGAAATGACTTAAATGAGGCCCAAGGAATTTCTGCGATTTTAGAGTCGTCACCGGTTTCCTGTTTCTGACATCTAAGAGGGGTGTAACTTCAATTAACTAAATTTATTGCTTTACCGGGACTTTTGTTTCTAATTGTGGTTTCTCTTCCGTGATTGTGAATGTGATTTAAAGACAGAGACAATTTGTATAACACAACCGTGTTATATTACCGTACGTTTTTGGCACACACGTTATATTTAGGGCTCTTTGCAAAATGTAAAAGACGTGGTACAAATTAAAATTTGAATTTAAATTGAGGCAGTCGTGGGTTTTTTTCAATACACATGCATGTTTTAAAGAATTGAATACAACTTTGAATTCATTCAATTTTATTTTTTGACACTGTGAAATGCACCTCTATATTGGGTTTGGGTGTATATATATCGTGTTATTTTCTGTACTGCTCGCTATGCTAGAGAATCACGTCCGATGTAAAGTTTTGTTATAATTCTATCGACAAATATGCGTTTGGTATAGTAGGGTTATGGGTATCACGTTTGTTTTAANGCATTGGGGGGGGGGGAGCGGTTTGGGGGGGGGATTTTTTTTTTTTTTTTTTTGGAGAACGGACGAAAATCGGTGCGCGCGCAGGATGTCATCCATAAAATTTAAAAAGTGTGGCCTTACCCATATGTTATTTTATTGAGATGTCTATTTGTAAGCTCATTAAAATAAGTTTCTTGTAGACTTTTAGGTAGTGTTAATGGCATTGATCTGGCGTTTGCATTCTGTCAAGGATATAATAATTATGTGTAATTCAATCAATTACAATTTGTTGATTGATGCCTACTGGTACATGATAAGTCAAATATGACGTACCACATAGATTTATATCTGCTATCTGGACCAGTCATCATGACTTTCCAATGTCCCTTGAAATTCAGGGTAGGGTCAGTTGACATATAGTCAATAGAAACCAACATGTCTTGCCAGAATTAAATCAAATGGTGGCAAAACAAGGGCCAGTCAATCTACTGGGCAAATTAGAATCAAATGGCACAATGGGCTTACCACCACCAGGTCACAGGTAAAATAAACCCCACAACCAATATTCTATTAATTGGAACTATTACAGCGTTTCATCAATGTTTGGTCTTGACTGCTGCATCACATTTTGCTTCAAGACCACAAAAAATACTAGTATTCTGCTGAGATTAGAATTTGGCTTTAAAAAGGTTCATATCTAGTAAGTATTTCTTGGTCCAAAAACAGGATACTTATGGAAAAAATACTTTATTCTACACAAGATTGATGTCACTTCTGTCAGCTATGGACTTGTAAGAACTTCATCTCTCTTGCAATATGGTTGCTTAGATAAGGCTTCCAATTGTTCATTTTCTTGCCTTCCTGCACATGTTACCAAATGTGATCTTGTTCCATTCCACAACAAAATAAGCTTTTTTGTGTAGCATGGTATATTGTGACTTGATCACATACACAAGCTATTACGACAGACAGCCTAATCTGTTTCATCATGGCATTATTAAATTATCAAAGTGGGTTAATGTTGCAGATTGAAGGCAATTCTCTAATTGGACGTAATAAGGAGACAGTCCTAGTAAAGCTATCACACTGCTGATTTTTACACTATAATAACGGACAGTTATGTCTAATAAGCAACTACTCTGCATCCTGACATCTCTATATAACAAGTTCTTAAGGGTACTGATCATTCAGATAACAAAAACTAGGTTTTTCCTGCATCCATCTATTTTTTCAATAATCCCCCAACAATATAAAACATAAAATATCGGTGTTTATATTTCTTGTTGCTTAGGTGAGATGGCAATCAGTATGGGGCATTCATCCTTGAACAAAATTTTATCACAAAAATTGGCATAGGTAATGACAAGTGAATGGGCTTCAATCCTGTGCCATCATTTTGGTTTAAAGTGCTTTTGTCATGGAGTTAATAACAATTATGTATCATTGAACAAAGGCTCTATTTTGCTTTACAAACAATAAGACCAGAACAAAGGCTTTTATGAATAAATTGGTGCTAGGGTTTTGAAATACTCAATGGTATCATTAAGTTGGCATTGACATGGTGTTCCTGGGTGCTCAGGTGAAGGAGAAATTTGAGAAACCAATTTTGCCTTTTTTTTACCCAAAATTGCATTTATTACATCATCAATAGCATCACATTTGTGTAAATGCTAAGGAATTTAATCAATAAGCAATGAAGATCTATTTTCCAAAAAATGTATAAAGCAGTAAATATAAGATTTTTTTGGCTAACCTTGGCAGTACCCGTAAGCATACAAAGTTTAAGAAAAACTGCATGAAAGTAGAAGGGACATTTTTGTATTAAATTAATCAAGGTTTGTGAATGATGATCATTTAATTTATTAGATTATGCCTTAATTAAAATATATAAACTGTATTAATTTTAATAAAGGGGACAGACCTTTGGCAAGAAAAAAGCAATAAACTTTTTAGAAGATATAAGGATACCAAGATTCAGTTGAAATTGCAATCATTTCCTTCTTTTCAGAATAACAGCTGTCTCTCCTGAAAATGATCAAAAGTTATAAAGAGCCTTTTAAGGAACCTTCTCCACCAACAAGCAGACAAAGGCTCTATTCCCATAGATTTTAGATCGATCTATCCCCGCGGGGAGTCTCGCTAGATTACTTTCAGATAATCCGACTTAAATGTCCGTCCCGCCTACTACAAGCTTTAAGGGGGTAATTAACTTTCCTGTCCGCCCGGCTGACAGCTTTAGCGTGAACCCCCAGGGAGTTAGGTCGATCTAAAGTAGGTCGATCTAATCTATNCCGTCCCGCCTACTACAAGCTTTAAGGGGGTAATTAACTTTCGTGTCCGCCCGGCTGACAGCTATTTAGCGTGAACCCCAGGGAGTTAGGTCGATCTAAAGTAGGTCGATCTAATCTATGGAAATGGGTTGTTACAATCACCATATTTTCTGTATTCTACTCAATGCAAGTACTGTAGGTGGGTGTTTATCTGATAGCAATCAGCCAGAGTACCCCTGGAGTTGGATCAATCTACCTAGAACAATAGTTTCATTGTGAATATGAATCATAGAAAGTTTAAAAAAGATGTTTAGCCATAGACATTGACAAGTTGTGCTATGAATGTGCTCTCAACTACCACAATTTATAAGTCCTTGGCGGAAGTCTGCGCCCTTTGAGTGCTTTCCTAGTTTCATATCGTTTCAACTCAGCAAAAAAAAAAAAAAAAAAAGTAAAATACAATTTTTAATATAATATCACCTTATATTTGACTAATATACTCATTAATTTCTTCGGGGTAAGAGTCTGTAGCTGCCACCACGACATAACCCTTTTTAGAGTTTTCTGATGAAAGTTTTTTAGAGTTGTCTTGGTGACTTGGAGACCCGGGTGAATATAGTCCCTGTCGTGTTTGCAACAGTCTACTGGATTGTGCGGCGCTGTCTTTTTCAGTTTTAAAATGCTGTGATTCGCTTTTGCTAGTACCTTCAGGAGATAAAAGGTGTGAAGAATCTTTTTTACGGCTTCCAATGAGGTTTTTGCTTGAATCTTGACTAGGGCGGTACGTGGTTACTTTGAGTCCTTCGGATTGTAACGAATTGTCTCGTGCTGTCTCGGAATTTACGGACTGCCCTCTGGCGGTGGTGCTGGACCTGCCGGAAAGATTTGACATCTGAGTCAGAACGCTGTGGCGTGATTCGCGACTCAGACGTCGTAGAGTTCTCCAGAACTGGGAGTCCCGAACCGATGCCTGGACTTCACTGTTACAGAAGCAGAATATCACAGCTACGAGAAAGCCCTGAAATATAAGATGGAAAAGTTAGGGGAAATAAAAATAAAGAAGCGGGCATTTAATGGCCATCTTGTTTGTTAAACTACGATCGCCCCGAGGGGTATGAAACTAAGATTTCTAAAATTTGTCGAGTTTCTCAAAATTAAAAAAATGGTTAGTAAGTTCGATACCAGAATCGTAACTAAATAAATTGGGTTCAATAATGAAAAGATAAATAAATTACATACATGGTTTCATTTTGTATCCAGGTTTGCAATATATTAGTGAACATGAAGACAAAGCGAATACTAAATCGGTAGTATTACAAAACTTTAAACGCCCACTTCACAAGCTAAGTACACCTTTTTTGAGAATACATTATTCGAAGAAAAGGCCACCGTTTGCATTTTTGCACATCATAAAGATCTCCATTTCCTTATGTCGTTCATTCGCTTTAAAACGCCACAATTTTCCCCTTAAAAACACACAAACCAACCTGCGAGTTTCGGACAGTGGTGGCGAATACGTTATATTCCGCTTCGCCACGGGTTCCTTTCGGTAATCTGGCGATCTGTATGATCCACTGTAGGCCAAACAGTAGGAACAGTATGACTACTGCTCTGCATATACGCCTGAAATTACAGTGTTTACATGAGCGTGGGGACTGATGTGACCTCTTCTACACAGGAACCGGTGTGACAGGAATGGTAGTCCGCAAGAAGCCGTAGTCCGCTCCCTATTACTATGTGCAGGTGGCATTCGTCCCATATACATGTAGTAACCCCAATAAATACAATGTTAGACCCCAAACTTCAATTCCTAGGACTACCATGTCTGTCACATCGGTTTCACAAAAAAGCTTAAGCCGGAGAATTTGTCTTACCGTTTCGATAAAAAATTGTCTACTAAACTGCAGGCCAATCGAGCAAGTACATGTAATAGACTGAATCAACAGTTTTACTGTGAAATCGTTTACATTGCTTTTATAAGTCAGTCTACAGTTTCAAGCCAAAATTATAAAAAATATAATGCAAGAATGTAATATAATTATCTAAAAAAATAATTCTTAGAGTTAAGTGCTTATTTACACTTTTCATTTTGTTAGGGAATTAAAACAGGGGCGAAGTCTAAGAAAAGTTTGGTACACAGCCTCTCATAGGGTCTTTTGATTTCTTGCGCTCTACATACAGTAAATCCATTTTAAATCTATTTTCAACCTCTTATGACGACAATTGCAATTTCCACAAAGTTTTACCAAATATTGGGGTTATAAAATAGTTCCAGCTTTAGTCTAGCCCATTTCTGCAAGGGATTGGGGGTCGTAATTTAGAAATAGATAAAAAGCGTACCGAGAGCAGAGGAAAAAACTTTATACATCAAGACGTTCATTTGTTTGTTTTATTTGCTGTCTTTAGGCTGTACATCCCGAGACGGATGGGTGGATAGGAGGATGGAGTTAAAAAGGGGAATGGCGGTTTTAAATACGCAGTGCACAAAACACACACGCTGAGGCTAGAGGTATTGACAATTGTCGACGGATAACATAAATATATGATTATTATACAAGCATAGCCAATTTCTTAGGATATAGTCATAATAACATATTTGTGCTTAATCATTTTTGTACAGCAAACATGGACAATGTACTAGTGTAATCAAGACGTGTGTAAAACGCCTAGGCTATACGTCGACAAACCATCAAAGGAACCCATGTCTAAAACACTGACCGTGTCCCAAAAACAATGTATACATCAACTGTACAACTTATCACATTGCCATAAAATGAAGCAACAACAGTGATACCCACATTTCTTGAAAAAAAGGTCTTACCCAGTTGAGAAAGCCAAACAGAGAGTAAGAAAAGATGAATAGAAACAATTAGCCACTAAGAACAATAGCATATGAGGTCAATATAACCGAAAGGCAGTAAAAAGCATGACATACATGTAGAAAATATATACAGCCATGTTAATCTATAACATTTTTATTTCTATTGACCTGGTGCAAAGAAAGTACACCCGCACAAATATTTTTCGTTTAACATTGACCCAGAAAGCACAACTTGGGACGACAAAACCTCGACACCTGGCTACCACGTGACATATCACGTGAAGATGGGATTCTATCATCTTACTTTGATCTTGCTGATTCTTCTTGTGGATGTTCACGCAGTCGCTTTATTGACCTCGCTATACTGACTAGGAAATATATGTTTGCCTAGAAATACAAGAAAATTTTTATAAACAGCAAAATAAGAAATTAAATGAGATACATGTAATTATGATGTCCTCGTGAGTTCACTTACGTTTATACGCGTTTAATGAATTATTCTATTTTTTTGGTTCTTTTGCAATTGAAAGTTTTAATAATAAAGTCAGGAACTGACCTTTGTCTCCTAGCTTTTTATAAATAGATATCTGTTCACTCATTCATTATTAAAATGCACACATGAACCTGAATGTGTGTGTGTGCGTGTGTGCACGCGCGCACACGTGTGTATGTGAGTGTGTATTTGTGTGTGTGTTTTACCCTTTAGGCAAACGTGGATCTGACACCAAGCGTAAAAGCTATAAAGCTTATTCCCCTCAGCTAAAACTTTGATAAATTACCACTATGCAGAATAAGTTTGGGGCATCGGTAATCCAGTTTGTCATGCCATAGCTTAGAGCCCAGCACCTAGTGAAACACAAACAGAGAAGAAAACTGAACAAAAGAGTCGATTAAATTTTTTTTTAAAACAGACAAAAAACAGACAGAGAGCGATGTGTAGATCATATGTAGATCAGTTTTATGTAGTATTGGCGACGTTCACCTCTTCAACTAAAGCGCATAAACAAATTGATTAGAATAATAATAGAAAATATAAAAAGGGAGAAAAATTGGCCAGTCTATGTAGATAATTCCTCGTTTCTTTACTGGGGCCGGTAGATCTACTTACTGTTCATTGTTCATAAGGATACGCACTATGGAGTAGGCAAGAGTCGGTAGCACAGGAACAACTGGAAGATACAATAAATTCTGCCACATACCAAAGTTACTGCGTACATATTGGACAATAGAATGCATTATTCTCCTGTATGGCAACGGAATACTAGAGCCAGCGGTCGAAAGCAGACCATTAGATTTACGAAGCCCAGATACTCTTACATATACTGTATGTTGCCATCGTACTGAAACACGCTTTTAACCATATGGCTGATTATACATGTGTGTGTGTGTGTGTGTGCCAGTGTGTGTGTCAACGTCATAGTGGGAATTAACTCGTTCTCCATTTATTCTTTTGATAATCACGATTACCATTTCACGAACGCTCAAAGCTTTGACAAAGCTATAAGTACCGTATAACGTCATTCCTTGCCACAATGCCAGTTCACGAGAGCAGAAAAAGGGATCTTACCCCAGCCTCCTATGTAAAGCCACTGCACGTTGATATGCGGCGACAGGGCGTGTGATATCAGCGTGTGGAGGTAGTAGCCTTCACAGAACATCCAGGCAAAAGTGGTGCTGGAGAAGTAGAGTTGCGCGGCCCAAAGAATGCGACAGCCGACCTAAAATATAAACAGATATTTGATACGTGACAGTGAACTGACAAAATCATTGTATACGTTTCTCTCTCTCTCTCTCTCTCTCTTTCTCAGTGTGTGTGTGTGTGTGTTGAGAAGCTTAGAGTTCTGGTAGGGTATTTGACACCTGTCCTTCCTCTCAAACTCATATAATATCAAATAAAACTCAGTTGTCATTGCATCGCGATTCTCATTTTCGTTCACGTATACGTTTGGCTTTCTAACACAGACCTCATAATTTCAATTTTCAAAATCAAATATATCTAAACATATTCAATTATGTATGAAAATAACAATTCTATACTACATTATCAAAAAGAATACCTACCGAATTTTCCTCCATTCGAGTATTAGAGTTATTCTCCTTGCTCAGGTAATCGTGGGTAAGGAGCATCTGTACCAATATGTTCACGGTGCTACACAGCAGGAGTGCCACGAAGAAGTTGGTGTGGACCCGAATACGCTCCTCCTTCCGCAGTCTTCTGAAACGATGCCAGTCCGTACCAAGGTACCCATATTATAACGGCGGCTCTAAAGGCATGCAGTAGCAAGCTTTATATACAACATCAATATGTACAGAATACCTACTGAAATGTGGTACATGCGTTGATTTAATTATATAAAAGCATTTTACATTTATAGATTTGAACAT